GCGATGTTAGAGGAAGCTGTGTGGCAGGGCACCCACCTGAGTGAGGGGCTCGGCTCTGTGTGGAGATCTGTAGGCAGGAGCAGCGCCACTGTTTGGTGGAGATGGGAAAGCCGGGATTGGCAGCTCCCGTCACTGAGCTTGCCGGCCTGCCCGAGGCCGTGCCCATGTGCCCGTGTGCCCTGGCCCCAAGTGTCCCCTGCTCTTGTGTGCCCTGACCTCTGTCTGGGTGTGGGCTTGACTTCGCTGGCTGTTGACTCTTTCGGTGAGCTTTTGGCTTTTGCTGCTTGGCCTTGGTGGGTATCCCACTCTGATCTCTGGTTCCTGCTCTGAGCTCAAATCTGGGGGGCCAGTGATCTGAGGGGTTTCAGAGGCCTGTCTAGGTTCTAGGCCCGGTCTCACAGTGCAGGAAACCTAGGGGACGGAAATGGCCTGATTCTCTAAGCCTTCCTGAGCAGGCCAGAGAAGCAGTAGTCTCCCTCTCCTTGTGTGTTGGGCCTTGACTGTTTGAGGGCCTCAGTGCAGGAGTCGGGAGACTGTGCCTTTACGGGGTTCTCCAAGTGGCGTTTTTAATTTAACTTTTTATTAGTACATGTTTGCAGTATATGATTATATTGATCACGGGGGCTGGCACGTGTACGTAACACATCGTCGTTCTTCTCATGTCCTCTTCTCTTTCTCCCCCTCTCCCTCCATCTCTTAGTCCCCTTTCCTTTTGCAAAAGATCTATCTCCCTGTTTCCTATTATCGAGTTTCTCATATAAGAGGAACCATGTGATGTTTAATCTTCTGTGTCTGCTTTATCTCACACATCATGGTCTCAAGGTGCACTCATTTTCCTACAAACGACTCAGGTTTATTCTGTTTGGCAGAGTAGTGCTCCACTATGTATAAAAACCGTGCAGTGGTATTTTCTCTGTCCATTCACTCATCTGTTGATGGACATATGGGATACGTCCAAGATTTGGCTGCTACGAGTCGTGCCACTCTGAACATGCATACCCAAGTTTGTAGCAGCAATATCATTTTGGGTTGTAGCCAACCCTGCAGCAGTGGGAGCGAGCAGTGGTGGAAATGGGGAGCCAGGCAGGAAGGCCAGGGGCTGCACAAGGTCTGTGGCTCCAGGCTCTGAGAGGGCCGTGTGCATCTGGGGCAAGTGTTCCTGGAAGCATGGTGCTTAATATGTTCCCCGTTCTGTGCCTTCAGTGTACTTTGAAAATGCTTGTTTGGGAAAAAGTTATATGAAGCTGGTCATTTCTATTTTTCTCACCTGTCCGAGCAAAAGCTTAGAAGGGCTCAGTGCATTCTTTGAAGAGTAACCGTGTAGTCATGTGGTACGGGGCATAGTAGTCCCATGGAGCCTGTACCTCTGTATTGGGGCAAGGGCCTCTCTCCTTACGGCATCTCACAGTGAGAGCCCATCAGGTGACAGTCACAGGGGAGGTGGCTGAGGACGAGACAGGAGAGGACACCAGAACTCAGGTCTGCCAGGCCTTGCCAGGAAAGGAGCCAGACGGCCCTGGTTGGCACTGAGGAACCAGCTCTGGTGATGGAGGAAGCAGGGTGGGATCCAGCAGGCACCAGCGCTTTCTGACCAGAGGGATGACTGTGAGTGCAGGCTCCCACAGTGAACAGGACATGGAGGCCAGAGTAGCAAGAGTGCTCTCAGCACACCTCTGGTCATCTGAAGAAATGCTGAGGGTTCTCCGTGCAGCCTGACAGGCAGAAGGCATGGCAGCAACCAAGGTGGATGAGCCCCTTCCCCGGTATGGGCAGAGCTGCAGGCTGGGGAGCCTGTTGAGGCAGAGGAGTGGCTGTTTTAGGTGGGGTGGTACAGGATGCTGTCTCTATTTTTTTTTTTTGGGGGGTGGTACAGGATGCTTTCTTTTTTTTTTTTTTTTTTTTTTTGTACCAGGGATCGAACTTAGGACCTAGTGCTTGTGAGGCAGGTGACGGCACCACTGAGCTAAATCCACCCCCACCCCAGGGATGCTGTCACTAAAGAGATGGCTTTTGAACTGAGGTCTTTTGCTGAAAGTTAGGGGCACCACAGGAAATGTGGGAAGAGGGGGCTCCAGGTGACAAGAACAGCAGATGCAGTGGCCCTATGGTAGGAACAGAGTGACTGGGTATGGTGGAGAGGCCCAGGAGGCAGCAGTTAGGTGGAGAAGGAGGAGGGGTGTATACATTAGGCCCCAGAGTTGTGCTCAGGAATTTGTGTTTCATGCAAAGTGTCTAGGGATCTCTGGGGGCCTAGAGGAGTGACCTGATGTGTTCTGTGCTGTCACAGCACCCTGTGCTGCTGAGGAGTTGTGGAACACAGGAGTTGTAGCAGGGAGGCCCCTGGATATAGAACTGGGCACCCTGGGCTGCTGGCTGGGCTGGTGCAGGGAGATGGGGAGGGTGCCCTGTGGATCCTGCAGGCCTCCCCTGGCCCTCCAGAGGCTGAGTTTGGGGTGGTAGCTGGAGCCCCCCCCATGTCACCCTCCCAGGACGCTCTCTGCCACCTGCCTGGTTAGATGTCATGGCGTTTTGTGCTTGAGCTATCTGTCACCTTGATTCTCACCAACTGAAAGCTTTCCTTACTAAGAAATCGGAGTCTGCATCCTCCCCAGGGGACGCAGCTATGCTCGTCCTGGTGGGGTCCTGTGGGTGCCTGATCCCTGGGCTTGGGAGGGTTGGGAGTGCTGTTGCTGGGTACTCTTTGAAAAGGGACCAGGCACCTGCGCCTGCTCAGTGCTGCTCACAGCCAGTGGTGCCCTCACAGTCTCCCTAGGTGCTGCCTGGCTTGGACTGGGCTCATCTCCGTCTCCCCTTTGAGAAGTGTGGTTACAGAGGTGCCCAGACAAGCTTGGGTCTCTGTCCCTATCTTTGGTGGGCCTTAGGGTGTGGTCCCAGGCAGCAGCAGGGCCCTCTCGCTGCCTGCGGGTGTGAAGTTGTACACTGGAGCAGACGGGCACTCCCTTTGCATCCTCCCCAGGGAGCTGCGTGGGACTAGGCAACCACACTGGGTTTCTCTAGTGCTTGGCTGCTTAGGGAGAAATTGCCTATATTCTTGTAGACTCAGAGGTGCATGTGAGTGTGCGTGTGTGTGTGTGTGTGTGACACGTGTCTTTGAACATGTGTGGCCTGAATGGTGCCTGAGTCCCTTGCCCAGTCCCTGTTCCAGCCTCCTGCTCTGAGCACAACCCCACACCCACACTGTGCACACACACTTGTGGGTACATATCCCAACCCTACTGCCTGACCACTCCCTGCTTACCTGGGGCGTGGCAGATCAGTTAGGTATAGGTTTTGGTCTTCTGTCTTCCTTACTGTCCTTTGTGACTTACACATGAGAGGAGCACTTGGATCCAAAGCAGGGCAGTGGTGATTCTGTGTAGCCTCCAAGGCTCCTACTTAGTTTTGCTACCAGGGAGGATACCTGGCTGTGATGCCCAAGGCTCTGTGATTTTGGGGAAGTTGCTCCACTTCCCTTAGTGAGCCCATGTGCTTCCCTGCAGAATTTGAGGCTGTCCCACCAAAGGGGCTGCCCATGGGCGTCTGCCTGGCGACAGAGGTGTGGAGCACTGGTGCCTCCCTGCAATTGCCAAGTTTCTGTACATGAGAATCCCTTAAAGGGCTCTGTGTTACTAATGATTTTAATCTTTGAATTTTTTAAAATACTCAGTTTTCTCTAGAAAACTGTTGACTTAAAATTAAAAATATGTATGAATATATATGCCTGAATGTACTACTCACTCAACAAATATGTATCAGGGACCTCTGGCCTTACAGGTGGTGGTTTCTTTGTTAGTTACTCACTCAGTGCTGTGGGTCAGTGGATAGGATTCTAGTGCCAGCCTGGGCTCCAGGTCTCTCTTTGTACATTGCAAGTCTCCATTGCAAAATTTGCTTTTGTGAGGCTTGGCTGAGCCATCAGATGTGGCCTTGGCCTGTGAGGAGCCCCAGGTTCAGGCAGGAGCCAGCAACAAGAGTCACAGAGTAGGAAGTAGGCTCTTCTGAGAAGAGGCGAAGGAGGGAGCATACAGCTGCACAAGTGAGCGCACAGGATGGGGTCCTGCAGGCAGTGGGATCAGAGGCCTCACAGTGTGGCCAGTGTGTGGGTTCTGGCCTGAGGACAACCTTGGGGGAGGGCCCAGTCTAGGGGGCCATGGGAGCTGCAGCCTGGCCCCGAGGCTCCCTTGGTGGCAGAAGTTAGAGCAAGTGGAGAGGTTTTTAAGCTATGAGGGAATGTGGGCTCATACACATGTGCGGGTTGGGTGATGGGATTGTGTTGCATCTCTGTAAAATCCTTCTTGTAGACAAAGGTGGAGGTGTGCGGTGGGGCTGAGTGACGTGGAGGAGGAAGAGCAACTGGATGTGAGTATTGTGGGAGAGAGGGCAGGCTGGGGTCCTGCCCATCCCTCGCTCTGTCAGCTGAGTGCCTGTCTGTCTTCTTGGATGGTGAGGACTTCCCAGGGACTTCAAGAGCTCTTTATCTTGCGGGGGAAATTCAGAGCATGCACACATACGTGCATCTCTCCTTCTTTCCCTTTCTTCTTTTGTCCACTGAATCCATCCATCCGTCCATCCCTCTGGCCATCCATTCACTTACCCATCCATCCATCTCTCCATTCATCCATCCTTTCATCTGCCTGCACCCACCTGGTCTCCCACCCATCTCTGGGGAAGTATTCAGAGCTGGGTGCTGTGCACTGTCCCAGTAAGCCGTGGATGGCCATTTGCAGTCATGACTGGTGGGGCCTGGAGGTCTCTTGTGAAAGGGCAGAGTTGAGGGGGCTGGTGAAATACTGCACAGTGCTTAGGAGTCAGTACAAAGTTCAAATCATTGGACTTTTACAAAGAAATTAAACTGAAGTGGATGTTTGCTTATAGTATTTGCATTTTCATATTAAAGACAATGAAAAACATTGATAGTATGTTTTTAGGTAAAAGAGTAGATGGATTTTAAGATCTCCACTTGTTGACTTTTTGCTACCACCTCTTCTATTTTCTTTCAGATTTTTGAAAGGATCCTGTTTATATGGGCAATCCGTCATCCTGCCAGTGGATACGTTCAGGGGATAAATGACCTGGTCACTCCTTTCTTTGTGGTCTTCATTTGTGAATACATAGGTAAGGTCATACCGCCATAGCTTTCTGTGAACATTGAACATGAGCTTTCCTGGCCTTGCTGTGTCACTCCGCGTACTTATTTATACCTGTAGTGACAATTGCCATGAAGTTCAGTGATATTAAGGATGAGAAATAGTTGAGAATAATAGTTCTGCTATTGATGCCGCTTTTGAAAAAGTCTTTAAATCTACATGCTCAACTACTGAAGATATTAAGATACCATCACCATTGTCAGCATTTTCTCTTTAATAACATTAGGAAGAGAATTGAATATGTTTGGGGATTTGTTTTATGTTTTATTTTTTAAGTTCTGGGGATTGAACTCAGACCGTGTGCCTCTGAGGCAGGTGGTGGAACCACTGAGCTAAATCCCTGGCCTGAATTTGGTTTATTTTTAATGGCTATTGAAGCATTGGCTTTCATGGTTTGAATTTAAGTGGATAAAGTTAAGGCAATAAGACTGTTACTGAATATTTTCCTACAAAGTAAAAACCAAATCTTTATGTTTCTGTGGCATTTCGTCCTTTTCTACTTTGTTTTTTGGTCTCGGCGATCTAACTCAGGTCCTTGCACTTGTGAGGCAGGCAGCAGAACCACTGAGCTAAATCCCTGGCTCTTTCTTCCACTTTTTTTTTTTTTTGATACCAGGGATTGAACTTAGGCCCTTTCGCTTGTGAGGCAGGTTCCCGAACCAGTGAGCTAAATCCCCAGCCCCCTTTTCTACTTTTGATATACGATAACATTTTGTTTCATGGGAATATTAATTACATGCAAAATAATTCATTTCACAGATTTACTTGGGCTATGCCATTTGTCTTGAATAGTGCATATTTTTCTTTCATTTATGTTAGAACAGCAAACTAATATAACTTTACGTATTTCAAACATGTTATAAATTCTTTTGTTTGTGGTACAGAGGATCAAACTCAGATCCTCGCACTTGCCAGGCAGGTGTGGTGCCACTGAGCTACATCTCTTGCGCCTGTAAATTCTTAAGAAATGGGAAAAGTGGTGTGTGTGTGTTTTTTAATTCAGCTGTGAATTCCAAGTAAATGCTCAGGAGGGCCTCCGCCTTCCATTGAAACATTTATGTTGAAAACTGACTTGAAAGCGTCTTTCTGTGACCCCTCCTGGCTTAGCCTCGCTTGTTTCTGAGAGAATGGCTTGGGCCGTTTTGGTCTCCGGCCTGCCTGATTGTCCTGGCAGCCTGAGAGGTGGGTTAACTGGAGGGCAGGACATCCTCAGAGGCTAGAACATACCTGTGCAGTGAATTTTATTGCGACCCCTGGACCCCTGGCACTCTGCTCCCGTGTATGATTTCATAGGACGTCTTCTCATTGCTAAGCAGCTAATGAGACCCATTGTCGCTCCCTCCCTAATCATCTCGAGCAGGGAGAGGCCACTACTCAGCGCCTGCACTCCGCTTCTCACTCCCTCGTTGGACAGATAATGGAAATGTTCCTAATGATCGGGTAACAGTAGGACCCCTGTCAGTAGCCCTCAGAGTTGTTAATTGAAAGAAGTTCAACTGAGATGTGATTAGAGAACTGATATTGCATGTTAAATAGACCATTTAATTAATGTGGTAAATAAGTTTGTCTTAACTACTTTACTACCAACTTGTGTTGTACGACCCAAGTGATTCTTAATGCATTTCCCTGATTATCAGCAAGACAGGATGAAGGGACATGACCATGACGTTAATTGTCCAGGAGAAAGAAAAACCAGGGAAATGGAGTGTGTGCTCTGCAAATGGAGACTTCAGCTTGTCTCTGAGAGGCTCTCCCTGCAGACGTGCTGTACACACACGTGAGTGTGTATCTGTGTGCACACACACATGAACACACCTGCTATTGACTTGGGTGTACAGTGTTGCTTTGGAGTGTCTGTGTAACATGTACCTGTTATTGGTGGACATTTGAAAAATTTGGGGTCTGGACTTCAAATAGGATCGTTGGATTTGTAGTCCTTTTCTGATCTCGCTTCCCAGGATCCAGAATGTTTGTTATTGTGGCCCGGGCCCATCTCTCATGCCATATGGCCTAGTGTCTGTGTAAATTGTGTATTGCATCACCTCGCTCCCTTCTGGGGCTGAAGTTTTGTCCTTCTGCAGACTCCAGGCTGCACCCCATGGTGTTGGCCCTCACGCAGGGAGATCGCACCTTGTCTGAGTGCCTGCTGACCCTCTGCTGTGCTGGGGACACAGATGAATGAGGAACGGCTGGTTCCTGCCGCCTTGCAGCTCATTGTAGTGGGGAAGACAGATTTTAGATGAGTGATTAAGAAGTTTAATTAAAGTAATTAGCATTCATGTTATCAAGAGGCGGCATAGCGGAGGTGGTCAGAGGAGGCTCCCTGAGTAGGTGACATTTCAGCGGAGCTCATAGGAGTGTGGGGATGTGGGGAGCAGCAGGGGAGCCTGCCGAGAACCAAAGTGCCCATGGGGTAGTGATGAGTGCTGGCTTGGGGAGGGCTGGGTGAGAGTGCTGGGGAGCCACAGGGAACCCTGGGTCCAGTCTCAGGGTGCACTGGAGACTGAGGAATGTGTATTCAGGTCCCAGTTTTTCTGTATTCACTTTGGTTCTGGCCTCAGGGAGCCAAGTAAATAACCAGGTGAAGGCTTCCTGAGGGGATGTATGGATTGCTGAACTCCTTCTGTGCTTGGTCTTGGAGCAGGTGATCCTCAGGTGCTGTGCTTACGGAAGATCTGCAGAATTTTTTTTTTTTCTTCAAAGGTAAAACCTGGCAATGAGCTTCTGCAGTTCAGATGCCTGAGTGCTTTGGCAGCACTGTGGCATCAACCCAGGCTGTCAGGTGATGGTTCAGATGCTTGCAGGGTGAGTGGCATGGGTCTCAGTCTAAATGGACACTACTTCCTGTCATGCTTGTGAGGTTATTGGATTTTCTTTCTTCAGAGTTGTAATGTGGCAAGCAATTGCAGTTAATTGGAGGTGCAAGAAAGCCTCTAGGCCTGGGATTCTGCCAGGGGTCCTCAGGCAGCAACCTCAGTTTGATGCATTGTCCGAGCAGGGGTGGGGCTTTTCCTGGGAATATGCATGTGCTGTGTGCCCAAGCAAGCAAAGACCTCCTTGGCTGTGTGCTCCTGCTGGTTCTTCTGGGCAGAGAGGATGGAGCACATCGCCTGGGACTGTGGTCTTCCAGGTGGGAAGCAGCAGCCTGCTGGGTCTCAGTGGGTGGTCCCACCTGTAAGTGCCAGCACTAGAAGCCTCTCCAGGATGTTGTCTTTGATTTGAAACAGGAGGTGGGATTTGAAACAGAACTTGGGAGGGGATCCATTATTTGAGGAGGACCTCAGCTTCTCAAACTTGATGACCTGCTTCCTGGAAAGAAGGGGACTGCTGATCTACCTGCAGGAGGCTGGCCAGGGCGATCAGAGTCAAACAATTTGGAGGGGGAGAGAGCATTTCTGGAACACAGAAACTGGATTTTCCCTCCTCTGTCTTCCTCTGGTGGGTCACTGGTTCCTTGACCCTCTGGTCTTATGTGTGTAATGCTGTGCACAGAATAAGAACTTTATGTAATCTGATACTGAAAGGAATCCCCAAAATGTTTCTATTCATCATGAAATAAAAAGAAAAACACCCTATCAGCTTTTAAATCTAAGGGAAATACTGAGTGTAGAGCTATTGAAAGGTATAGGCAAGTATGCAGGAGAAAGTTGGAACATTTGATTGTCCCACTTCTAAAAATATTTATCTGTGCCTCTTTCATTCTTTGATTAAGATTTGCTTTCCAGGGAGGATGAGAAAGTGTTCTCCACTTCTGCCCTTGGCAGGAGAGGCATGCTTGCTTTGCCCCAGAAGTGCGCTGTACCTTCCTTAGCTCCTTTCAGTTCTGAGCTGGCTCATGGGACAGGACCAGGGCGTGGGCTGGAGGCAGTTACCTGCACTTCTGTTGTCTGGTCCTGTGGGGACATGTCTAGTGTTGGGTATGGAGGAAGGAGGATTTGCAGCCTTCAGCCTAAGCTGTTTTCCTACTGGTCCCTCTTTCTGGGGCTTTGGGCACAGCGCAACCTGGGGGTACCTCAGGTTCCGGTTCTGATACAGCCATGAGGAGGCTCGCTCTAGCCCGCGGTCTCTTGAGGATGAGCTGATGTCATCTTCCCTCTGAGTCTCTTCTCTGTGCATTGCTTATGTTGTCATTGCGATATTATGCAGTCAGGAGCATATTATGTATAACATTTTGTTTCAGGCTTTTTCTTATAGCATAAAGTTTTCCTTATATTATTTTCCTATCATTTCTACTTCCTGCACATAATATTCTGCTGAGATGATATTGGATAATTAATGAAACCATTCCCCTATTGTTCATTTTTTCCCCCTTTCCACCCCTAGGCATAGTATAATTTTTAAGTAAAGCCTATATTTTTCAAATAGTGTCTATCATATTCCTTTTAGGAATGTTTAATTTGTTTTAAAATTAAGAAACATTATTCAATCTTCTTGAATTGCACAATTGAAATCAAGAACGCATTTTTAATTTAAATAAATACTTCCAGCATAGAGAAAAAACAAAGAAATATTATTTTCGCCCCTCTTTGATGCATCTTTGCTCTTTAAATTTAGAAACAGTTTTGACAGGCCCCTTGGAGTAATTGTATGTTAGCTGGGCTACAGGAGAGGAATGATGATGGCTGTATTTTGTACGATGAAGAGTATTTTACAACTGTCATCGTCAGCAAGTTTAAGCTTAGACTGATTTGATTTTGTGTGTCATTTTTTCTTAAATTACATTTGAAAGCAAATATGGAAAGGGACTAGAATAATGCATTTACTTAAAGAGCATTAAGAATTTTAATTTTTATATTCTTGTTTATAAATTGGAATCTCAGAATTTTAGGTTCTGAATTAAAACCTGTTAGTTTCGCTGGAGGGCATTTCAGCAGGCAGCTCTCTGAGCACAGGAAGTCAGTTTCTACAAGGGTTTGTTGGACACAGGAGAGAAACACTGCAGGGAGTTTACTGGGGCTGTATTTTACC